TGAGACTCCAACAAAAAAAAAAAAAAAAAAGAAAAAGAAATTCCCTGCCCATTTGGGGATATCACTCTGGGTGCCAAGTTCTATGGATTCACCAAACTCTACGTGAAGAAGTACAAGCTCCCAGAAAGGGCAGATTTAGGAGTCAGAGAGATGGCCACATACTAGTGCCGTGAGCCTGGACAAGTGACCTTGGACAGGACCTCATTTATCTGGATTCAGTGTCTTCATCTTTACGGTGGGGATGAAGAGGCCTGCCTCTCATGACTGGGACGCTCAAGCGAGAGAACACTGGGGAAGTGTCTGTGCCCGGCACTTAGCCCTCCTCAGCCCTCCACAGCACCACGGCACCTGCCCCTTCACACAGCCCACCCCGCTGTTGGTGGCGTGTTCCTCTCTGGACCTCCCTCCGTGCGTGTGCTGACTTGCACACGGGTGCTAGGCGTCATACCATCGCACGAGGGCACCCCCCACACGCAGGTGCATTGACTCCGCGTTTGTAGGTGCCACACGTCGGGACCCCTGCCATGCAGGACCGGCGACACGCTAGCCCAGTGCAAAGTGAGAGCGTGGGGCCTCTGGCTCAAACATCAGGAAGCATTTCGAGACGGCAACCGCAGAGCACGGAACCAGTGTAGGGCCCCTCTGAACACAGGGCCAGGTGGGGACAGCCCCGTGGTCACATGGCCTTTGGGACACTGTTGTCCAGGTCCCCCTGCCATGGACTCCCAACACACCTGAAGATGCAGTCCGCCCTCCATTGGGAACCAGCCCAGCCTCAGAATTAATTCTAGCAGAAATGCGGAGTGGTGGGCACCAAAGAATGAAAAAAAACTATGTGGATGAAAAAATCAAAATGGAGAAAATTCGATCACGGGTTTTCCTGGAACACTGGAGGGACCCGCGAAGTCTGGGAAGGTCCCTGGGGCAGAGGGAAGGGGGAGTGAGCATGGTGCCAGGGGGTCCTCTCGGAAGCCTCTCCGAAGCCCGCAACTCCCTGTCCCGGGTGGGCAGAGGCCTCACCTGCCGGCAGACGCGGGACTTCTCCAGGAGAAACTGCTCGATGCGCGCGCCCTCAATCACCCCGCTGGGGTTGAAGTAGATGTCAATGTACTTCCCGAAGCGACTTGAGTTGTTGTTGCGGATTGTCTTGGCATTTCCAAAGGCTGAGGGTGAGAAGGCGACGCCCATGACAGGAGCAGAGAGGAGAAACTTTACTTTGAGTGGGATCATCTGGGAAGGCTTCTCAGAGGGGGTGGCCAAGCCTAGACTTGAGGGATGGATGGGGTGCACCAGACAGTGATGACGGCAAAGGACATGCTAAGAGAAAGACAAGATGCAGGTAAAGGCCCCAAGGCCAAAAAGCATGGGGTTGGCGCGTAAGGGGAAATTTGTCCAGAGCATAAGATACAGGAGGAAAGCAGTAGGAGGTAGACAGAACTAGTTAGTAGGTGGAGCTGGGTGGCACAGAGCCTTGAATGCCAGATTCAGAACTTGGAAATAGGTTCTACAGGTGGTGGCGGAAACAGGAACGCTTCCGAGAATGGAGGGATAGATCTGCAGTTTAGAAGGATGGTCCAGGCGGCAGGGCAGGGGCTGAGAGGCGAGGGCAAGCTTGCAGGAGAGTTGCAAGAGCCGGCCCGGGTGGAGGCACAGATGAGGTCAGATCAGGAGATGCTTGAGCTGCAGCTTGATTCGGAGTGTTTTTTGTAAAGCTGTTTCTGCAAGCTGTTTCTGGTGTGATGCACAGTAAGAAAGAGATTTTGCAGTACATCCTGGTGTATACACACTCCCAGGGCACACACATCAAAACACAGTACTCAGTACCAAATTTTCCCCAGAGCAATGTGGGCTGGAGGGTGTATTCTGTTCTATGATAGTTCATGGTTCTAGGAGACCGATTTATGACCCACTAACTCTTAGGATGCAGTTTGAGGATGCCATCGTCTGGCATTAGTCCTATGAGATAAAGGAAGAAGCTTCCTTGGGAAAGTACGTTTAAGAAACTGTACTCTGCCTCTCTCAAGGAACCCCAGTACACAGCAGAGCCTCTGAAAAGTGCCACAGTCATGAACCTCTTCTGTACCGATGGAGAGTGGAGTTACAAGGGTGATGGGCCACCCCACCACACACAGAAAAGGGCAAACCCTCTCCTTGACTGTGCCAAGTGCTAGCAAGGAGGCAGAACAACTAGAGCTCTCCTGCTCTGTTGGTGGGAAAGCCACGTGGTCCAGTCACTTTGGAAGACATCTTGGAAGTTTCTAACAAAGCGAAATGGTTGCTCACCATTTGAGACCACATTTGCACTCCTGCATATTTAACCAAGAGAAAAACATGTGCTCACACAAAAACCCTGTATTCAAATGTGTGTGGAGGTTTTATTCATAATTGCTAGAAACGAGAAGCAGCCCAAAAGTCCTTCAGGTCGTGAACAGACAAACTGGTACCTCCATACACCAGAAATCTCCCCAGCACTACAAAGGAAGGAGCTGCAACAACATGAAGAATCCCAAACACGTTTCACTAACAAACATGGCCTGAGGCAAAAGGCTACAAACTACGCGATTTCATTACGAAAAGTTCTGAAAAACACAAAACTGTGGGGTGGGGGAGACAAACCAGTGGTTGTCAGGGGCTGGGGCTGGGAAGACAGGCTGACCACAGAGGGGCACGAAAGAAGTTTTGGGGGGATGATGGCATTCTGCTTAACGGTGACAGTGTGAGTTTGTTAAAACTCACAAACCCATGTATCGAAAAGGGGGAATTTGTAGTGTTTGTGAAGCATACCTCAATCGTAAAGAAACGAGAAAGCCAGCAGCTGACAGTTCTGTGGCTGAGGTCACAGGCTTCTGGGCCCCCACCAGAAGCCACGCACCGGGGCACTGGGGCCTGACGCAGGGCCCCCGAGGACAGTGGGCCCCAGAGCTCCCCGCTGGGCAGCCAAGGCTCAGTCAACTGGGCATCGCAGCTCCGCCCTCTCCCCACCGACCCGCCCCTCCCCTTTCCTTCGAGAGCCTCTGACCCGCGCCCTAGGAGGGCCTGTCCTTTCCGTGCCTGCCTCCTCCCACCCTCTCTCCGAATAAACCTCCTCCAGCTCTAGCTCTGGCCCAGTAACTGCAGCCCCCGGGACGTGAACGAACACATTCAGCACCACCCCAATGGATTTGAGCCTGGAGTCCCCCTGGAAAGGAATGCTTCTTACAACGCCACGGGAAGCACACTCTGTGGAGGCTTAAAAAGCCATCTGTCTCTCCACGCCGCCTGGGAGCCTCTGTCCCACGCCCACCTCCAACCCCCACCCCAACCCCCCTTGTCTTTTGTGTCTTGAGGACCTGGGGGAGTCGCTGAAGGCTTGTGGCCACTTGGTCCCCCCACAGTTCCCCTGGCGGGAAGCTCCAGGCTGTGGACAGGGAGGAGGGCGGGTTCCCCGGGTGGCACTTACCCTCCAGGATGGGGTTGGCCTCCAGGACCTGCTGCTCGATCCACGAATGCTGGCCACTGACGGTGGCCAAGAACTGCAGGATGAGCTTGGTGGTCTCCGTCTTGCCAGCCCCGGACTCGCCACTGCAAGGAGGGTGCCAGGCACATGAGTCCTCAGAATAGCCCTTCTTCCATGCCTCTCGACTCTCCTGCACACCCACCCTGCTTTCTGGGCCCTTCTGACGGGGCACCTCGACCCCTGCAGGAGTCTCACTGCATCTGCCCTCGAGTCCCTTGTGGGTCTCAGACTGTCCACGCTGCACGAGTCACTGTCGTGTTTGCCTTCTCTTCCCTGTGGGGCTGCAAGCTCCTTGGCACACTGGATCTGGCTCGTTTCAGGGGCACCGGCACTATGCTCAGAAAATGCAGGAGGGTGAATGAGAGGACCCGATGTCTTGCTAAGGAATGTTCAACCAGCAGGCCAGCAGCAGGCTCGGAATGCAGATGCCCGGGTCCCGCAAGCTCTGTTGAATCGGAATCTGCATTTCTGTAGGATCCCAGGGAGGATTCCTGGCTTTGGAGTTTGCACAATGAACTCCCATGGCCCATGGCCCAGCTTCAAGTGATCAATTTTGTTTCCCCTCCTGCACTCTTTTGAAGCAAATCCCAGACAGACGTTGCGTCATCTGAAAATATCGTCTTCTTAAAAATTTATGATCAAGGCCGGGCTCGGTGGCTCAGCCTGTAATCCCAGCACTTTGGGAGGCCAAGGAGAATGGATTGCCTGGGGCTGTGGGTTCAAGACCTGCCTGGGGAACTTGATGAGACCTCGTCTCTACAATAAATCAAAAACTAGCCGGGCGTGGTAGCACACGCCTGTAGTTCCGGCTACTTGGAAGGCTGAGGCAGAAGGATCGGCAGAGCCCAGCAGGTCGAGGTTGCGATGGCCAGGAGCGTGCCACTGCACTCCAGTCTGGGTGAAAGAGTGAGACTCCGACTCAAAAAAATAAAATAAAAGTTATGATCAAAATCTCCACAATCGCTACACTGGCAAAGTGGAGGCAAATCGACAAACCTCCACTGACAGCTGCAGACTCCCAAGAGCGCCTGCATAGCGCAGGCGTTTTTGCAAACACAAGCTCATCCAAAAACCCACCAGTGGAGAGAGAGGAGCTTAAGGGAGTTTGCTCACAGCCCCAGGGAAGCCAGGGCGGGAGGTTTGACTGAGTGATGCCAAAGCTCAGCAGGCTCGCTCCTCTCCTCGCAGCAGGCATCAGCCAGCTCCAGCAGCCTCAACATCCTAGACTCAGTGAGCATTTATGAAAGGCTGGGAGGTCTAAGCCCTGGCGAAACAGTGAGAACCCAGTTTCTGAAGGAAGGAAGCTCTGGAGGGCTTCTCCTGGGGCTGCAGAGCAGGGCGTGCTGCGGAATAAGGAGAACCCGCGTCACAACGGCCTCGCGGGCATGCTGGTCGGGGAAGGACAGGGAGGAGGCTCCCTCCTTTGTGAGATGCTCGGAGTGGTGTCCGACCGCCTGCCCCACCTGATGACGCAGCACTGGTCCCTCTTGTTCTTCTGCATGTTGAAGTAGCAGCTGTTGGCGATGGCAAAGACGTGCGGGGGCAGCTCGCCCACCAGGCGGCTGTAGTACAGCTGCACCTGCTCCAGGGTGTAGAGGGGCAGAGCCTGGAACGGGTTCACGGCCACCAGGATGGAGCCTGTGTATGTCTGTGGAAGGGAGCGGGGATCAGCGTTCCGGCCCCGGGGCACAGCTGCCCAGCCTGGCCTCGGCCGGGGGCGCGGCCCTCCGTGGGGCTGACTGCCCTTGGTGGGGACATGGGGTCTGATTCTGGGCCAAGGAAATAAGACGCTTATTTGCTCAGATTCCTCCTCTGGAAAGATGGGACACCCACTGGGAACGTGAACTTGCTGGGAGGGAGCACATTCCCAGGAAGATGAGATGCTGCATGGGTTAGCGCCCTGCCTGGTGCTTAGAAGGGGCTTGGGAACACCGGCTGAATGCGCAAGTGAGTCTTCACCCGCTTCCCGCAGGAGCCTCCACGGAGTCTGGCCAGCCGTGGCCCTCACGGTCCCAACCACGTGTTCTGGGCCATCAGAGCCAGCTAGCCAGGCTCCAGACCCGAGAAAGGCCCAGGCAGGCGGTGCCTCTCCCAGGCCGCACCTACTCAGCACAACACCAGGTCATGGGCAGAGCTGAGGTCAGCACTGGAATATCGCGGGGGAATCGGCCTCAGAACCACCATGAGAGGCTTTGGGCTGTGGGGAGCCTCCACCCACCGCCGGGTTTGGGAGAGGAGCCCACATCGACACACACAGCCCTTCTTGGGAACCTGAGCTTCGTGACTGTCTCAGGACTCGCTCTCCAGAGGGAAGAGAGCGTCTGTCTGGTGACCCTGTCCCATGATCTGCCTAGGAAGGGGTGAGCAGGAAGCCACGCCCGCCTGATGGTTGCCTGCAGCACTCATTAAGCCCCTACTGTGTGCCAGGCCATGTGCTGGGCCTCTAGCCTCAGCTTCCTACCCCCTGGGGGGGATGCCCTGCTTCTTTTGGATTGCAGAGCAGAGATTAGGAAAGGCTGGGTGCCTCGCCCACCTCCCCCAGTGACGGTGGGACACACCACCTGGCTCCAGACCCCCGGGGCCCTGTTTTCTTCCTCGCCCAGGAGGTCGGCCCCCTCCAGGCAGGGGGCTTCTCTGCGGACATGGGGTGGCGGGGCGAGACTCACGTAGATCTTGTGCTGCTGGTAGCGGATCAGGAGGTTGTGCACCATGCCCGCCTCGTCTAGGTCCCCCAAGCGGATCATGTCGTCCACGCCCTGCACGGAGTTGGGGTGCATGCTGCTGAGGGCACCGAGGTCCTCCGAGTGGATCCAGTGTTCCTGGAACGATGGGTAGACTCCCCTGAGGGCCAGCCTTTTTCTGTCTGGGCCAGTCTGCCAAGACCCCCCCACGTTTTCCACAGTGAGGCGACCCTCTAGTCACGGATTGGCTGACTTGGCCAGCTGATCTGTGGCCAGGGTCAGCCTGTGACAAGCGAGAATGAATGCCCGTGACAGGGCCAGGCCCGTCTAGAGCTGGGTCAGCACAGATTGAGGGCCTGGAGTCGGTATGTGGCTGGGGGCCAGGGCTGACTTTAGACCAGGGACTGAGGAGCTGCTAGCTGAAAGTTAGACTATGGGTCAGGCTGCAGTCGGGGACCTCAGAGGCCGTTAGAATAAAAATGTGCAGGTAACAGTTTTTGTTTTTTGGGTTTTTTTGAGTTGGAGTCTCACTCTGTTGCCCAGACTGGAGTGCAGTGGCGCAATCCCGACCACCACAACCTCAACCTGCTGGGCTCCCATGATCCTTCTGCCTCAGCCTTCCAAGTAGCTGGAACGACAGGCACGCACTACCACTCCTGGCTAATTTTTGATTTATTGTAGAGATGAGGTCTCGCCAAGTTGCCCAGACGGGTCTCGAACCCGCGGGCTCAGGCAATCCATTCACCTCAGCCTCCCAAAGGCATGGGATTTCAGGCTGAGCCACCGAACCCGGCTAGTAACAGTTTTTTAATTTTTTTTTTTTTTGAGTTAGGGTCTCTGTGTCATCCAGCCTGGAGTGCAGTGGTACAATCATGGCTCACCAAAGCCTCAACCTCCTGGGCTCAGGTGATCCTTCTGCCTCAGCCTCCCGAGTACCTGGGACTATAGGCATGCACCACAACACCTAGCTAATTTTTTAAATCTTTTGTGACACAAGGTCTTACAATGTTGCCCAGGCTAGTTTCAAGTTCCTGGGCTCAAGCAGTCCTCCCACCAAGGCCTCCCAATATGCTAGGGTTATAGGTGTGAATCACCAGGCCTGGACCAGTCGAACTCTTCAGCATTTTGCAAAGAGAAGATATGATTGTCACTACTTTAGACCTGGACCCCACAGGCCACAGTCTGGAATCTTCTCCCTGGAGGGCAAGCCTGCAGGCCCCTCTCCCCGCAGCACTCAGCCGGCAGAGCTAGCACTGCCTGAGGAGTCAGGGAGCCTGCTCCCAGCAAGGCCCTCCCCCTCAGTGCCCTGACTGGCTCTGCTCTCTCCGGTGGGCGAGCTGGGCACCCCCGGCTGCTCCGAGCCCTGCGCCCCTCGCGGTGTGGTTTCCCCCTCCCTCGCGCTCCGCTCACCTTCCTCCTGCCTTGGCCACCTGCTGCCCTCGCCCAGCACCCGGCCATCGGCCTTCCTTCTCCCTGCCAGAGCCCCTTTCCCACTTCCCTCTGTCCTGCCCCCTCAGTCCCCTTAGTTTCCCCAGACACAGACGCTGGTCACGATGGCAGCACTCCACGGGGGTCTGTCCTGCTGCCCAGGGGTCCACTCGGCCCTGGAGCCCCTGGTGTTGAGGAGCAGAGCCAGGGCAGGGAGGGCTCTAGCCCCCAGGGTGGGCTGGGGCCCAGAGGGGAGCCCCAAAACACTGACCTTGCCCTCGTCATCCTCGACCAAGATCTTGCCGGGTTTTGTTTCTCGGATGACTCCCCCGATGGCCACGTCAGTCTTATTGGCGGAGGGAGAGTTCAGCCACACGTGGTCACCCTGGAGGGCAGAGAGAAAGTGCTCTGAGCTCCACTCCCCTCTCCCCCCCCTGCTGGAGACTCACCTCTCCTGGGGGCTGCCCTTCCAACACAGAGCTCCAAGGTGAGCTCTCTCCCTCTCCCTCTCCCTCTCCTTTGTCTCTTTTTCCCTCTCTTTCTTCCAGCCCAGGTTTCTTCTGAGCGTGTGTCCCCTGTATTTCTCACTGGCAGGTACCAAACTCAGCACACACAGTCTTTCTCCATGTCTCTGTCTTGTCTGAGATAATAAGCTGGACAGAAACAGGAGTCCAGACTTCACCACAGCCCCTCTCATAAAGAAAAGGACACCTGGCTATTATTCAGAAGGGCGGCATGGCTGAGTGGCTTAGAAAGCAGAGGGCTTCTCGAACTTGAGGATGGCAGCAAGAGGCGAACTTTCCGTTTGCACCCTCTCAGAAATTGCCCACAAGCCGCCAGGAGGATGAGACACAGAAACAAGCACCTCACCTCCTGTGGAGTAGGAGGAAGCTGAGCCCCTGAACCACAGAGCAGGCAGGGGGTTTCCAGAAGACGCAGGAGGCAGCTAAAGAGGTAGGCCCAGCTGCAGACTCCAGAAGGAGCAGGCGAAGTTCATTTCTCCAAGATGGAGACACATTCTGACATTATCTTGCTGCAGCAGCAGTAGCGAGGGCACAAGGTGGTGTGGAAGCTTCCCTGACCTGGTTTGGTTCCAAGAAACAGACCACATTTGCAGGAAGAGATGGGAACAGAGAAGCCTTGCCCTGTGAAAAGCCCTGCAGACCCAGATCCATTGGCTAGGAGTAGTAAAGTCCAAAGACTCATGTACCAGGTTTATGCTAGCCTGAAACGTGGCATTAACCCCAAGTGAACTTCCTTCTGATCCAAGAAAGCTCACCCCATTCAAAGAGGCGTATTCCAAAAGGAGCCAGCAGAGGTCTACGTTCGGAGGGACTGAAATCCAAAAGGAGGGAAGGGACACTCAAACGACACTCACCAGAAGGAAGAGCACTGACACGGAGCATGGGGATGTCGTGATCAAGCACTTCACCACCATGCTGAAGAGCACGTCACAGGCAAAAGAGCTCAGAGATTCGATGGTGAGAACTGAGAAGAAGGATTAGTTGACAGCTCAGGACAGATATGGAGGAAAAAAATGAAGCGCGGATCAGAACGAAAGCAACACTGGAAACAACAGAACATGCACTGACTAAAAGAAAACATGAGAAGGATCATAAAAGACAAGAAGGAAGTCGGATGTGGTCGTGCGCACCTGTAATCCCAGCACTTTGAGAGACTGAGGCAGGAGGATTGCTTGGGTCCAGGAGTTCAAGACCCAGCCTGGGCAACATATCAAGACCTCACCTCTACAAATTTTTTTTAAAAACTAGCCGGGCATTGTAGTGCATGACTGCCTGGAGTCTCAGCTACTCTGGAGGCTGATGTAAGACTATCGCTTGAGTTGAGCCCAAGAGTTGGAGACTGTGGTGAGCATGACCATGCCACTGCACTCCAGTCTGAGCAACAGAGTGAGACCCTGATTCAAAAAAATGCAGAAAGGAGGAAAGAGAGCAACATGACATAGAAATTTAAATACTGGGATTAGGAAGAAAGTGATATAGAAAACAGGCAAAAACATAAACAGAGTGCCCAGAGAAGAAAAGTAGGGGAGAGAAAGAACAGAAAGATCATTTAAAGATATAATTCAAGACAACTTTCCAAAAATTAAAGAAGCCTTGAATCTACAGATTGAAAGCACACATCAGGTACAAAGAAATAACGGCCAATAAAAATCAGCTCCAAGACATATGCCAGTACAAATTACTGAATTTAAAAATGAAGAAATAATTTTTGAGCGGTAGTCAGACAAAAACGAGAAAATTTAAGTTCACTTATAAGGAGAAAATTCAGGACAAATTACACTCCTACAAGGTCCAACAATTAGGTTCACGAACCATCCTACAAAAAGTGTTACATGCCTCATTGCTGATTGTCACTACAGTCACCTTTAAGGTACTCCCCTTGGAAAGCTATGCACTGAGGCCAGCACCTAGTCCACCCGTCAAAGCGATTTTGGAACTCTTTTACTGGAATAGCCAGCAGAGTTGTTGTCGTTATTTGTTGAAGTCTGACCATTAAGTTTGCAAACTTGCCATTGTGTGCTTACGTTGGCAGTACTGTACAGATAACTGTGTTTAAACACCCTCCCTACTTACCTGATCTGACACCAAAAGATATATTGAAAGGAAGACATCAGTGATGGCTCTGATGGTCATTCCAGAAAAAGAGTTCCAAAATCGCTTTGACGGGCAGACTAGGTGCTGGCATCAGTGCATAGCTCCCCAAGGGGAGTACTTCAACGGTGACTGAAGTGATATTCAGCAATGGCGTGCTTTTTCTAGGATGAGTTTGTGAACTTAACTGTCAGTCCTTGTATAAGAGGGTTGAAAAGCGACAAGCATCTCAAGAAAAGAAGGAGCCCACCCGTTAGAAGGGCCACTATCGAAAGAACGAAAAATAGCAAGAGCTGGGGAGGATGTGGAGAAATTGGAACGGTGTGTCGTGTTGGTGGAAATGTAAACATGGCTATAGCCATAACGGAAAACGGGATGGAGGTTTCTCAAAAAATTAAAAATAGAACTCATTACCCTATGATCCAGCAATCCCACTTCTGAGCACAGATCCCAAATAATGCAAAGCAAGATCTTGAAGAGATATTTGCACACTTGTGTTCATTACGGGACTATTCACAATAACCAAGAAGTGGGAATACCACAAATATCCATCAACAGATAAACTGATAAAGGAAATGTAGAGTACACATAACAATAGGATATTGTAGTGCCCTAACAAAGAAGGAAATCCTGTCACATGCTGCAACTCTGATGGACCCTGAGGACATTATGCTAAGCAAAGTAAGCCCATCACAAAAGGAGAAATACTGTGTGATTTCCTTCAAATGAAGTATCTAAAGCAGTGAAAAATCTTAGAACAGAATGTAGAAAGGGCGGCAGGGAGAAGGAATCAATGTTCAATGGATACAGAGTTTCAGCTTTTCAAGATTTATTATACAACACTGTATAATAAATATACTTACCACTACTGAGCTGTAGCTTTAATAAGAGTTAAGAATGGTAAATTAAATGTTATGTGTTTTTTACCACAACTTGAAATGAAAAGAATAATCTGACTTTTTTATTACCCAGTCAAATTATCATCCCAGTATAAATGCAACGAAATGCAACGCTATTTTCACATGCTTTCTGGAAAAAAAACTCAAGGACAAACCTCAGCAGACAGCACAAAGGATGAAAACACCCCACAATACATCACCATGACGTTTCAAAATACTTGGGGACAAGAGAAGATTATAAAAGCTTTCAGTCCGGGCTTGGTGGCTCAGCCTGTAATCCCGCACTTTGGGAGGCCAAGGTGAGTGGATTGCCCGGGCCCGTGGAGTCGAGACTCACCTGGGAACTTGGCGAGCCCTCATCACTACAATAAATCAAAAAATTCGCCGGCTGTGGTAGCGTGTGCCTGTAGTTCCAGCTACTTGGAAGGCTGAGGCGGAAGGATCGCTGGAGCCCAGCAGGTCGAGGCTGCGGTGGCCGGGAGCGGCCAATGCACTCCAGTCTGGGCGACAGAGTGAGACTCCAACTCAAAAAATAAAAAAAAAAAAATAAATAAAAATAAAAAGGTGGTATTATTCAGAAATAAGTTATTCTAGATGTAGGTTTAAATCAGAGGTGTGTTAGAACTATTAGGGAACTGAATTGAGTTTAAATAATTCCCAGTTGCACCCTTATTTTTTCAGGTACAGAATAACTTTCCATGTCAATTACACTTTATTTGGAATAAAGTGTTCTGAGTCTCACTGCCCCAAGGGCTGGTAAATCACAAGTGCTCAGTTATTGTCACTTAGGGAAGCCTATTGTTACTAAATATATGAGCACATTTAAATTGTTATGAGGATATAACCGAGTAAAGAACAACCTTCAGACTTCCAGTAAGATCCAGATCTAACGTCAGAAGATTCAAAACTGGAAGGAATGCAAGGGTTCTCATTGGTAGTATTCAATAAAGAAGGTCATATAATTTGCAGGAACACACATTTGTCTATGCTGCTTTAAAATGAGATTTCCATTTTGAGTGGTAAAAAAATACCTATAAGCATTTTTATTTTTCCTGAATTGACCACATATATCAAAAGTTGCTCACCTCCAGGCATGGTGGCTCATGCCTATAACCCCAACGCTTTGGGGTGGAGGCGAGAGGATTGCCTGAGTTTAGGGGTTCAAGACCAGCCTGGGCAACTTGACAAAATCTTTTCTCTACAATTAATCAAAAAGATAGCTGGGTGTGGTGGCACACACCTGTAGTTCCAGCTACTTGGAAGGTTGAAGCCAAAGGATCACCTGAGCCCAATACGTCAAGGCTGTGGTGGCCATTGAATGTACCACAGCACTCCAGCCTGGGTGACAGAGTGAGACTCCTACTAAAAAAAAAAAAAAAAAAAAAAAAA